ATTTAAAGTAAATATTTACATCAGCTGAACAAGTTCTTGAAATATAAATATAGAAATATGAATATGAGTAATTGTACTGTGATACTGCGTAATGTATGGCGCAGTAATTTCACAAAATATAATAAAAAATAAAAATAGAAATGATGTCGTTTTCACGTGACTTTCGCAGTAGTTTGTTTTGGTTGGATCGGCAACGTGGGACCTCTCTATCGGTCCTTATTTTACTATCTCACAATATATAAATTAGTTAATCTCAAAAAATTTTTTTTTATTTTGTGCAAATAAATGAATATGTAAATTTACTTTCCCCAATTCAATTACCCATGTCGATTTAATGTTGCACATAATTTTTTACACTTTTTAAACATTTTAACCAATTGTTAAAGGTATATTATTGCTATATAATAATTGCTAATTGCAAACACATCCATAAATTTTTTGGGAGGTGTTAAGAAACAGAAATTTGATAAAATTTAATTTTTAATTCTTAAATTTTATTGGCTGGAATCAGGGCTGGCTGCGCAACTCAAATGAGCACTTGGCTAATTAGGTTTTTAACCCCTTTAATGTTTGATTGGAAGGCCTGTGACTTCCAAACTTCCAAACTTCCAAAATCTTCCATTGGAAGCTTCCAATGCACATCACTGCTGTATATACGAAAATTTATTATTACATTTCTCTCGAAATTAAAAATCTATGAAAAGAAAATTCGAAACAAATTTTTTCTATGTGAATTGACTTCCTTTTAAAAGCTGAATTGAATGGTGATGGTTTTTTTAAAATCCAACGTATGGATCATATAATATTTTAAATTTTTTAACTTTTGAGTATAGATGATTCGCACTGTAGAAAAAATTGTGAATATCATTACAACGAAGTGGCTGGACATAAACACTGTCTACATTTTTTATACTCAAAACTGGCACTAATTTGGTTTTGAATCGAATTTATTTTAAAATAAATGTTATTTTTAAGCCATACCATTTTTATGCAAATCAAATTACCCATCCATATAATTGCCAGAGTTCTTGAACATTAATTATCATTGGGCATTTTCAGATTTTATAGTCAATGTTTATTTCTAATATAAAAATATATGCTAAAAATGTTAAAATCTATTATTACTTGTTTATCATTAAGCTTGTGTAATTCTATTATTTTGTTGTTGTTTAGCTTCCAGATCTTTCAGACTCCATAAACTGATTCCAAATTTGTCATGTTCAAATGGCTGTGCCATGGATCTTAAAAATTTTTTTGCAATCACTAAAGCCATATCTGTTGATAAATTTATTGCTATATCTGTAATGTGTTGGTTTATCCATTTTGGTAATTTATTCCGTTTATCTGCTCTTCCAAATCTCTGGTAAATACAAAAAATAATAATTAACTACATAAATACGTATGTGTATATATAATATCAATATTTTTAAAATTAAAACCATTATTTAACTTTATCAGCAAATATCATAAGCCCGTAATCTGTTTTCCCACGTAACACTCTTCCTACGCATTGTGCTGCATGACGCATTGCATCAAATGTCAAAAAATCATTTTCACGTATTTGATAGTTGTCTCTAAGAAATTCCAAACGTGCCTACATTAAGTATATATATATTATTTATTTATCTGATTATATTTTTATTCGTAAATATATTTAATTACTTACTTTTAATATTCTACTCTCGGTATATTGATATGGTACACCAAAAATTATCACAGCACGACCATAATTATGATCAAAATCTATACCTTCTGACACTTTACCGCGAGCAACAGAAAGTAAAATGGCACCTCTACCATTGTCACATGCCTATTTATGACATAAAACATTAGTATTGTTATCATTGATATTGGATATTAACAAAAAAATTTTAAAAACAAAATTGTGTCATCTTAATCATTACTTTACGATAATTTTCCAATGCAAGGCTTGTCTCAATTGCATCAGGAGTTTCAATAAATATTAATTTATTTTTCAATGCTTCATTCAAAATTCCCTTTGAAAATAAAAATGGGGTTTTTTAATGATATGAGCTTATTATAAGAGAAACTACCAACAAAATAATAGAATTACACAAGCTT